TAGAGGGTGTCTGACAAGGAAAGTGTATCCCGGCCTGTTTAAATTCAGAGTTGGCGCATTCGGACAAAATACATTCTCTTGAAGTGGTCAGAGGGGTGTAGTCGTGGAACCCACCAGTAGGCCCCTTTAAATCTTTGGAGTCTCGGGATCTGTCTTCCCACTTTCTCTCTCCCTCTCGAAGGGATGTCGAGGGCTCGTCGCTTCTTGAGGGTTTAGCACTCTCTCGATGCCTTGAATCTCCATCATTGTTGGATGCTTCTTTCTCCTCGTACTGAATGTACGCTTGAGCTTTGAGGAGGAGGGAGTCGAGCGTGGATGGAGTTTCAATACCCACATCCTTCGCGAAGTCGCTGCAGGTACAGAACCCTTGTTCAATAGGGTACTTCTTCATGGCATTGGTCGTCGAGACCTGTGCAACTTCTTTGTTGAAGCGCTCGATATATGCACGTTGAGATTCGTCTCTACCCTAGATAATTTCTTCAAGTGAAGCCTCTGATTTTAGATGCTGACGGGAGGCGGTGAAGTGCCTCGAAAATATCTTTTCTAACTGTTTCTAAGAAGTGATAGATTCAGGGGACATACTTTTGTACCAAAACATGTAACCTTTTCTCAGAGTGGCTGGGAACAACCTGCATTTGATTACGTCCTTCATGCCTCGGTAATCAAGTAAGGCGTTGATGTCTTCTATGTGGTCGTCTGGGTCGATCATACAATCGTAAGATCCCAATAGGAACGACTTCTCGAGCCCGGCCAGGAGTCATGCCTCCATAATTTCTCTCGATAACGGGTCACGAGCTCGTCGTCATCTCGTCGAGGGGAGGGGCTCCTCCCTTGTCGTATCGGTCTAGGTGATAGTGACCTTCTGCGATCGTCTTTGCAGGTGCCTTCCGTCTCCTTAGAAAGCGAAGAGTCTTTATCCTTCTTGGGAGATGCTCGATCACACTTCTTGCAGAAAGAAACATCGAGTCTTTCCTTTCTTAGAGGACGCCCCTCTCATGGAGGTGATATGCTGGAGGAGTCATGTCGTCGGTGTCTCCGAGGGAGAGACCTTAATTTTTTCTTCTCCAGAGCCCTCATCCTTTTTACTCTGGTGGAGGATGAGGGAGTTGGTTCGGTTAAGGGAAGCGATCAATGTTGCTATGACTGGGTCGTCGTTCTGCGGAACACAGACCGATTTTAGAATCTCCGGTTGGTATTCGACAAGGTTCTTGGGAAACTGTTCGTCCAAGAATAGACTATTGTCACAATCAGCATCGATGGAACCGGGGACGCAGTATGTCCGTCACAGGCGCCAAAGTTATCCTCGAGGTGAGGATGTTCTTGGCTTCCGTCGGTCTTGCGTGTAGAGGAGAGCACAATCTTTCTAAATAGGTGGCGATCACCGTGATCAGCCATGTTTGATGAATGGAGAGGATCTTTGGTCTTCAAATTTTGGGAATAGATAACGGGGAAGATAATTTCCCACAGACGGCGCCGCTGATCTTACCGGATGATCAGAACCTGTGAGGTGGTCGGATGATGATCTTCAGACAGGATGGAAAGTCGAGAGGAAAATGGGGTTATACCTGCAAGGTACTTTGACGATTAAGTAAGTGTGGGAGAAAAAATAGATACAAGCAAAATATTAGGGTTTTAGTGATGAATAGTCAATTTTCGATCCTTGACCCTCACATGAGTGATGGTTTATATAGTGCCCCTTCCGCTTGGCTATTGGTCCTTATTTTTGGGCCTAGATATGCAAGTTGGTAAAAATAGATGACTTCCAGGACTTGGTCAAACCGGACAGGTGTGCCTGCAACTATCTGTTAGTTATAAAGAGGAAGTAGGTTACAGGCAGCGGTCTGGTCGGTTCCTGGTTGTCTGACCGACTTGAGATCGGGCAGACTGAGAGGTGCTCGTCGATTATCGTAGGTCAATGCTGGTCCAGGAGGGAAAACGATTAATGGCGCACGATGGAGGGCGAGGAGCCCGGGCCATGGTCGCACTGGCCGTGTCGAAGGAGGAGGTCATATTGGGCCTACTCTAGCCGTTGGGCCAGTCCAGAATAATTACATATACAACATTGTTCACCGATTCATGGTCCAAAAGTAAACAATCACAAATATCACAATGTAACATTCAGACAAATATCATATAATACACATCAATTGAACATTTCACATCGTCACATGTGACTCTAATGAAATTCAATGCAATATATGTGTGGTACCAATTGTTATCCTTAGCGGTCATACCGGGTCCATATCTCCAAGACAGATAACCACCAATAAAAGTTTGATTCAGTCTTAAGCTTTCAAACCCCTCGGCGTTAGGTTTGGGACAAGTCAATAATTTTCACAGAATTATCAAATATTGCCTCTTGACACAAATGATGCATGTGCAATCTCAATATAAATATGCAATTAAGACCATCTCCATATCTTAATCACATAAGCATATTTTATATAGTTCAACACATTTAAATTATCTTCACCAAATTACAACACACATACATCATGTCAACATTCACATACAATACATACTCATAACATTAATCAACTCAACACACCACAATAACACATCGCAACAATGTTAAAACATGTTATCCTCATTCATCATCAATTCACAATGTACATATACATAAAATTCAAGTATTATGTTCATACTAAGAAGTCATCCAAAACTCATCAATACATATCTTGAATAATTCATCACACGTGAAATACCACACAGTTGCAAATACATACACATACTCATGGATTATTCACATACAATTCACTTTCATAATATTCATCAATTCAATATCTCTCAATAGCACATAGCAAGTAATATCACAATGTATTACAATCCAACACCAATCAACAATACGCATAACACGTATACATGTCATTCTACACAACCACATAATGATTAAATCATCTACTGCCAATAAAATTATTTTTATTGAAAATAATACCGCACTACCTTTCTAACGCTTCGAACGGGGACTCTAACATATTTACGGTTCAAAAATTATGAATATTTAAAGTTCGAACGAAAACGCAAACACTGACATCATACACTGACACCACAAAACCTCATTACGCACCAAATATATTTATTTTCAGAACATGAAACCACTTTTACAAGAAAGTAAACTATATTATATTTCTCCAGGTTTGAACGGTGCGTCAAACGGACACCCGAATCTCAAGTTATGAATTTTTAAAGTTTTATAAAAATCATGCATTTTTCATGCGAGACAGCTCTTGGGTTCCACATGTTTTCACTCCAAAATTCATCCAAACAACCAATTTTCAAGAAATAAAATACATTACAACATATATCTAACCTATAACATCAATTAGAAACATCAACACATGATTTCCAACATAATTTTCATGAATTTAATTTCAAACCCTAAAATGTTAAAACTAGAAATTGAAGAATACCAATCCCTAATTTCATGCTATCTATCCATTACATGCTATTACATACTCCCATAATCAAATAAAAACCCACCCTTACCTTGGGTGTAGATTCTCTAAGGTTCTTCCATTTTCTCTTCTCTTTTCTCCCCTTTTCCTCTTTCTTCTCTTCTCTTGTTTTTCTTCACTTTCTCTTTCTAACTTCTATATCTCTTATTTTATAAAAACACCAACTATTACGTATTTCACTAATGGGCTTAATGTCACACATTCACACTAACTCTACACATAAGGCCCAATTAATTATTTTGTTATTCTCACACTCAATAATCCAATAAACACATAACACACATATAATTCAAATAAATCATTTATTGACAAAGTCACCCAATTTAATTAATAAGTCACATATCACACAAAATGACTAATTAATACAAATAGTCACATATTCACCGAGAGAAAATCAACTAGTTAATTAATTACTATATCAAATAATAATTAATAAAATAAATAACTAATAGTAATAAATAATAAAAATCGGGGTGTTACAGTAAGAATTAATTAATTATTACTAATTATTAATTAATGACGTAATCATTAATCTAACCTTAAATGTTGACCGCATTTTTTGCATTGCGTACCAAGTCACCGATCTCCTTGCTGATCAAGTTTGTAACAACTATTAGTGGACCGGATCCGCTCCACTTCCCTCACAATTTTCTCTTCAGTTGGGTCAGATCCTCAGCTATAAATACTAACCCTTCCATCACTTGTTCTTCAGTTTTTCAAGTGGCTTATCGCGCCATCAACAACTGGATTATTTTCAGATACTACGGCTGGTTCGAATACCATTTGAAGGTGTAATTTTCTGAACGATTCATTACAGTGCAAGTGATAATCGTAACTTTGAACAAGATGTTTTATCTTGGAGACGTCGTTGAAACTCGATTGTTTTGCATAATTATTGACAGTATAGCAAAATGTCTTAAAGAGAACGAAATAATATACGACTCGACCCGATAATTTTCTTTGTGGTAATTTTTCAAAACTGAAAACCACATATATGATGCCTTGGTTAGCCTCACAAAATTGAGCCATTTTACATAGCTAAGTTGAAGCTCTTCTATCAGTCTTTGGTGTGAAAATAATATCAATTATAATTTGAAGCTCCTAGAGTGGCGCAATTTTTTGTCCGTACTTTTGTATTGACCTAAAACATAATAATTTGAAGCAATAGTAGATTATAATGCTTTTATCTAAGTTGCTTATATGGAGAATGTAAAGAATATTCAAAACTACCTACTGGCTATTGCATATTCAGATCAACCAGATCATACTCTTGTTACTTTTCACAATCCATATATCAGTTTGATTAAAATCCGAATTGAATATTTAGGATTCTAATATAGAAGTATAGGTACACAAATACAACATGTTGATCAACTAACTAGAGACGTGCATATCAAATCCGCAGCTCAGTGAAGCAAGCCATCACTGAAATGCACAAATTTCTTTGCAAGCTACTTAAGTCAAAAGAAAATACAAAATGAACAACCAATAGCCTCTAAAATCTCAATCATTCCCACTAATTCACATATAAACAGGATTAACTCATTAATCTTGACCGCTAACCTCAGCGGTTTTGTCAGTAGAAGCTTGAGTTCCTTTCAAGATCTCCAAAACTTCCTTCATGGATGGGCGCATTTTGGGCTCAGGTGCAAGACACCTTGAAGCAACCTTAGCTATAGCAAGTGCGGCTTTTATGGGATACTTGTCGTCCAACAGAATATCCATTTTCTTCTTCAATTTTCTTTTGTCCAGTAGGTGCGGTTTGATCCAATCCGTTAGACTGTGAAACCCACTTGGCCGGTTGATATCAATCGCTCGTAAGCCCGTCAGTATCTCAACCAAAACAACTCCGAAACCATACACATCACTCTTTACATATAGATGCCCTGCATTTTCAATTTCAGCCCACTATAAACAATGAAGTTGATTATGTACTAAAAAAGCAATGAAGAGATGAATTACTTACCTGTTTGCATATATTCAGGAGCTGCATAACCCGGTGTCCCCATCACGGTTGTGGACAAATGCGATTGACTAGCTGAAGGACCCAGCTTTGCAAGCCCAAAATCTGATATCTTTGCATTATAGGACTGCGAAAGCACCATAATTGAGTTAAAATGAAATGCAATTAATAAAGATTTATGATAATAACAAAGAGGTAGATTAGAAAAATGAAGAAAGAGTCACCCCATCAAGCAATATATTAGAGGCCTTAAAATCTCTGTAAATAATTTCTCTATTTGATGTATGCAAGAAGGAAAGACCACTAGCTGCTCCAATTGCTATCTTAAGCCTCAGCTCCCAAGAAAGTGGTTGAATCTCAGCACCCCCTATAGTATTCAATCTCATGGATTAGAACCAAAAAGATAGACAACATATATAATCTTCACAAAAAAGCACTTACTTCCAAAGAGGTGATTTTCCAAACTACCCTTCTGCATGTATTCATAAACAAGAAGAAGCTCTGTATCCTCATAACAATATCCCAACAGTTTAACAAGGTTAGGATGGTAAAGTCGACCTAGAAAATGTATCTCAGACTGCAAAAACACGGAGCAATAATTAGAATGAATAATAAAATAATTAAGAGATGTAAGGACGCACGAAATTGAGTTATTCATTACCTGCCATTCCTCGAGACCTTGGTAGCTTTCGGAGTTCAATTTTTTGACGGCAATGGTGATTCCATCAAGCGAACCTTTGAAGACTTTTCCAAAACCTCCTTCTCCAAGAACTGTATCAGGTCTGAAATTCCTGGTAGAAGTTCTCAATTCGGCGAAAGTGTAGACTCTTAGATTAGCAGTAGATAAGATCTGACCACCGATTGAAAAATCAGATGAGGAGAAATTGGTACTGTTTATGGAGGAGGACATGTTATTACTGCTTCCACTTCCACTACCAGAAGAAGTAGTAGAAATAGAATTGAAAGTTGTAGTGCTAGTACCATAGCTTCCACTTGTTGTTTGAGAATTAAATGTTCCTGCAGGTGTAACTTTGTGCACAGTATAATCAGAAATATGAATGATTGAGATTGAGATGAAGAAGTAGTTAGTTAGTTAGTTAGTTAGTTACCAGTTCCGGTTGGAGATGGAGTTGGACGGTTGTTAGGAGGAAGACGACTCCAGCAACTTCCCATTGGAATCGGAGAAGAACAAGAGATTAGAGAAAGGTTTGTTTGTTTCAATTTCAACTTGTGATTTCTTCAATCTGTTAAACCATTTTTTTCTTCTTCGTCTTCGTCTTATCTTTTATTTTTGTTGATTACTTTTGCTTTTCTTTGTTTTATTCAATAATTATTAAAGTTCACTTTCTTCCACTCATTTCTTTGCTCCTTCTAGTCGTACGCGTGTAGTATGTGTACGATGTATATATAACTATTTTTATAATTTCGACTTTATTTTAATATTATATATGATTTGGAGTTTGTAAATTGTTTCAAATTTATTATGAGCTTAGTTATTTTATAAATTTTAAAAAATGAAATTATAATTATTTTTTGTTTGAAGAAGACGGAACAATTAGTAGTGTGATGAATGGCTTGTGGATTGTGGACACAGTCAAAAGATGAGAAATTAAAAGAGGCCTACCTGCCAGCTATAAAGTCTAATTTAGTTAGTCCTAAGTCAAGTCAGACATTAGAATTAGTTGCAAACAAAAGCATTTCTTTATTCAAACAAATCGCTTATATGTTCAAAGGAGGGGACCATTACCAACCATTTCTCATTCAATATAATTTAAAGACTCATTTTTGTTGTGGAGGTTAAATACTGCGCCCGTTTTAGACCATCAAACAAATAGCAATTCCCAAAGAAATAAACTATCGGTAGTTTAGTACTAGTACTTACCAATTTAAAATACCATAATTTTCTTGACCTTTTTATTAAATTGGGTGCTGTTTTGTTTTACATTGAACAATTTTTTACTCTTATACTAGTATAGTAGGATTAAATTAAAAATTCCCATTTCCTAGATATTGACTTTGTCATCATGTCATATATTTCAGGAATTTCTAGGACAAATCTCTACCGTTCAACTGCACTCACTTTCATTCATTTAATTAACTCTTTCTTTCTTGACCTTATCAACATTTTCTTCGTCAAAAAAAAAACGTGTGAACCCTGTGTATGAAATGGAATTGCAATAGTCAAGGGATTCACTTATTAAATTCCAACCCTTTTTCAGGATTTATTAACCTCCAATGTTCCTAAAAAATATTTACTTTAATCCTAGTTGCTAGATATGAACGAAACACAATCTAATTTGAAAATCGATCCTATCTTCTTCGTCTATTTGGCCCTCAAAACATTGCGTTTTTGTCTAAACAATTGGGTTTCTCAAAATGTAGGATGACTCTTCTTGTCTCAGCACTGTTACTACTAGTTTTACTTTATTTTGTTAATAATACTTATAAACCAAATATTCAAATTCATGTTGGTTTTTAATATGAAAAATATTTATTAATAAGAAAGTACGAAAGTGAGAAAGAAAAAAAATAATTCTCAATTATTTATTGTGACAATTATTCTATGATTTCTATTAAAAAAGAAATTAAATTTAAAATAAATTTAAAATCATCTTCTAAAATAATAACAAATATATATATTTTTGTATTTCTTATTCAAATAATTCTTACTATATAACATTACTCTTCTAATATTATACTAGGCATTACAACAAAACTCGTACTCGTGCCACTCTAAAATTGACGCAAAAATCTATTTTGACTGGATTTGAGTTTGGGTTTAGGTTTTCTCCGATTATAAAATATGAGGATGGGTCGGATAATAAAGATATTACTATCCACTCTGAACCCGCCCTTGACACTATTAAAAATATGACATTTGAGAAAATGTCCTTACATCAGATATAAAAATATATGATGTGAAAAATATTTGTCAAAAAATTTTACATCAGACTTTTATCTCCCATGATATGAAAAACATGTGATTTAGAGGAAAATATAACAAGGTGGCAGTTTGGTAAATAAAATAAAAAATTTTATAAGGTATTTTACATCGGGCCTTTACTTACCCCAGATGTAAAAAGTCCAGTGATAAAAAAATAAAAATACGGTGGTAGTTTTGTAAATAATATGTGTTTTTGTTATAAAAAAAGTGGCATTTACATCTGTTTAAGTCCCAATCGATGTAACATATTGACGGTTTTATTTTATACATTTATTTGGGAATATATGCAATATTTTTAAGTAAATTTTGTTGAGAAGATGCTTTATAAAAAAATATTCTAAAATATAAGTGAAAAATCTAATTGAAATGTAAAAAAAATCCTTTTAATATATTAAAAAAAGCGAAAAATAAATAAATAAAAAAGTAAGCGGGCAAGACTTCCGCCCGTCAAGCCGCCACCTTGACGAGGAAAGTTAGGTTTTTATGCTCATTTCCACTTGGCGGGCTTGCCTATCCCGCTCTTTTTTTAGCAGGCTTAAGACGGGGTGGGGCGGGGCGGATGGTCTATTTTTCCACCCCTAGGTATGATGGAACAGAGAGCACTCACCATCCATGGTGTAACACCCCTATTTTTATTTATTAGTTATTTTATTAGTTCTTTATTTAATTAATTATTATATGATATAGTAATTAATTAAATTGTGTGATTTTGTGAATATATGGATTATTTGGATTAATATGTGTTATGTGTGTATTGGGTTAGTAAGTGTGAGAATAGCATTACTAATTAATTGGGCCTTAATATGAGGGTTAGTGTGAGAATGACACATTAAGACCATTAACGAAAACATAGTTAGTAAGAGTTTTATAAAACAAAGAGAAAGAATTGTCAAAAACAACAGAAGAGAAGAAAGAGGAAAAGAGGAGAAAAGGGAGAAAAAAGAAGAGAAGAAGATAGAACCCTAGAAAAGGATCTACCTCCAAGGTAAGGATGGGTTTTCATTTGCTTATGAGATTATATGATGTATGTAATGGATAGCTACATGATTTAGGGATTTTGTTCTTTAATTTTTAGATTTTAACATGTTAGGATTTTGAGTAGAAATCTATGAAATTGATGTTTGAAACATGTTTTGATGTTTATGATGGAAGCTATATGTTAGATATAGGTTGAAATGTGTTTAATTGGTGAAAAATATGAGTTTGAATGGGATTTTGGAGTCAAAACTCAGACTGATCCGCTACTGAGTTTGTAAATTTTTCTGCTGAAATGCAGAATACGCTTAGCAGGGATTTCTATGCTTAGCGCGAAAGCTACTGACTTGGGGGTGATTAGCACCAAAGAGCACACTTAGCATGACCTGCAATGTGAAATTTTATAATTTTGTTAAATTGATTGGGGATCTTGTATGCTTATGATTTATAAAGGATTTCCATGAATTTTAATAATTTATATGATGTATATTGAATAGGTTTTGGACGACTTTTAATGAAAACATAACACTTTAATTTTGTGTATGTGTATGTTTTAAATTGGTGTTAGATGTGAATAACAAGGTTTTCCATTGTTTGTTATGTGTTATTATGATGTGTTAATGTGATGAATTCTATGAGAATGTATTATACGTGATTGATAATATGAGGTATGTATGTTTGTGCAAAGATGATGATAATTCAAAGATGACAAATTATGTGATGTATGCTTTTATGATTAAGAGTGGGGGATGGTCTTAATTGTATATGATTGTTGAGGTTGCATATGCATCATTTGTTGTCAAGAGGCAGTGCTTGCTAGTTTAGTGGAGACAATCGACTTGTCCCAAATCTAGGGGATTAGTTTGAAATCTTGAGGGATGGGCTTTTTGGTGGTTATTTGTCTGAGGGATGGACATGGTTTAAATGTAAAAACCGTTAAGGATAACAATTGGTACCACATGCATATTGCATTGAGTCACATAGGAGTCACATGTGTCATTGTGAAATGTTGAATTGGTGTGCAATATGTGATATTGGTGTGAATGTTACTTTTGTGGTATTTATGATTGATCATCTTTAAATCATTAATCATTGAGCAATGTTGTATATATGAATATGTGAATTGTGTTACTAAATGTTGAATATATGATTATGTGAAGTGTGATGAATCCATTTGTTGCTTGTATGTGAGGCATTACTTATTATTATATACTTCTATAATGATGTGAATTCTCACCCTTCGGTTGAAATAATGTTTTATACAACATCGCTCAGATACCAAAGATAGCGGTGCTTCTAGAAAGGATTAGTTGGAAGATCTAGTTCTTTGTTTATCCTTATTTAGGTAGTGAGTCATGCTCTGATCATGTAGCACGGGAACGTTTGAACTCATGTTGTTTCAAGAGATGCTTGTTATTCTCTATTTTATTTATGATGTATCGAGATTATGTGATGGTTGGCCTTTAGTGCCTAATGTTTTATTACATGAATTCTATTATGAGATTCAATTATTGATATCGTTTTGAAAAGAGAATTATTCCGCTGCGAGATGCATATATTTATAGAACATGATTTTAAAGTTATGTTATGAATATGAGCGGTGTATTTGTGTTGGTTTTGAAGTACATGTGACACATTCTTTGATATGCATGCTAATTTACTCTGATTATGCAATATAGTAGTATGTGTGATGGCCAAATGGTAAGGTTATTAATGTGTTTATTTCCTTTTGTATTCAATATGTGTATGTGACACAATCGATACTATTTGTCTGATGAGAATTGTTGGTTGTTTGGGAATATCAGGATGATGGTTGCAGGAAGGAATGACGATGCTATTGCTGAAGCGTTGGTAATGTTTGCCGGTGCGATTAGAAATAGACGCACATAAATACTGGTAGCAGTGATGATGATGATGATGAATTCCGTGCTTTGGGGAAATTTCAGAGGAACAATCCACCAAACTTTGAGGGATCTTATGAACCTGACAAGGCACAAATATGGCTGAAAGTGATTGAGAAGATCTTTCGGAGATCTTTCGGGTCGTGAATTATTCGGATGCACAGAAGGTGCAGTTTGGCACACATATACTTGAGAAAGAAGCTGTGGATTGGTGGAGTAACACTGTTCAGAGGTTTGAAGAAGATTGGATTCAGGTTACTTGGGCACTTTTTAGAGATGCATTTCTGGGGAAGTATTTTCCAGAGGATATACATGGAAAGAAGGAGATTGAGTTTCTTGAGCTGAATCAAGGT